TAAAATTGGCGGGAGAGAAAATTGTTGTGGAAGAAAATCTCAGCGATTTGGGAGTGGCATCTTTAAATAAATACTTAAATTTAGCGACAAAGGATTGACAATCTTGAAACGTGCAAAGTCTTAACACTGCGACTTTGAATTAAAGTCACGTCGAAATTCAATGACGTTTCTTTAATCTGAAAATTAAATAAATCAAATATTATGAGTAATGCAACAATTTTTTTCTTCTTATTTTGAATTTTTTTTTTTTTTATGGATAAAAGTCTTAAACTTCTTATCTTCCTACGAACATTGTCATTATTTTTTTTATCAGTCTTTAACTTTCCTTTTTTTAGTGTAAACACATCGTATAACACACATGCACTGGTGGTTTGGGGGGGATCCCGCCTTACCATCGTGAAAGATATGTATGCCGTGTTAAACAGTATTTTTGCACAGCTGAAACCGAACAAAAATTTCTGGAGTAGGATAAGCTACCAAAAATGAAGCATTCTTGCAAATTCGACGAAATTTTATTCGGTATTAACAAAGTACTGGTCAGGAAAAGAACACGATATTCTCATGCATATTTATAAAGGATTGACCTATACTCGGCACTCAGGGCCATTGAGCAGGGAGGGATCTTTTTCGTGCCAGCACCTACTGCAACACGGGGCCTCGGTTTATACGGTCTCATCCGAATGGTGGGGGGATAGAACAGTTAGAATAGAAATCAACTAGCTCGAAGAAATCTGACAAGTAAAATAGGTTCCAATATCTTTCACTACTAAACATGACTAAATTTTATTCATTCACTACAATTTACTGCCAAACTTCAAATTTCACTTTCGAATTAGCCCGAGCCAATGCTGAGAACCTACTTGCAAGATTTTTTATATTATTTTCAAGGGGTCAGAAATACTGTGGTTCACATGTAAAGAATATATTTATATTATTTAGTAGTATTCTGGTTTTGGCATTCGGTATATTGTGCAGATTTATACATGATATTCTGTGGAATACTTTTTGTTGTTTTGAACCATTAAGAAATGCAGAATCAAATGTATCTAATAACCATTTTGATTGATCAAATTATATCATTTATTTGTATTAGTTATTTCATTTTGGCACATTGACAACATCTGTAGAAGTTCACCCAACCGAAAATGTCCATTGAAAAGACAATTGTACGTGATTATTCCTCGGTACAAAAAGTAACCAACTCTGAGGTGCTCTCAATATTGACAATCCCTAACTCACGTGTTTGTAGTAATATCGTAGTAGACCATCATGCTTTTCGGTTCATTCACGAGATTGGACCATTGTTTGCTGTAAACATGCGAGACAACGTGATCATGAATATTTCAATAAGAGGCGGTTTTTTATCCGACACGGAGAGAAAATAATTCTTACCAAATAATATTTCATAACTTTTAAAAGTGATGGAGGGGAATTGTCTTATTTGCAGAAAGTATACAACTTATATAACTTGATGCGACACCACATATATTAATTTATTACTTTTAAAATAAAACACTAATACGGCATATATAGCTTTAATGACCAAAATCTACGTGTACATAAAATTAATAAATTTATTGGTTTTACTTTGTAGGACATTGCATTAGTTTCACATTAAGTTTAGCTGAATTAAGTTGAATTTTTTTTTCTATAAAACTATAAAGCCTGAGAGCTTCTCCGCTTTCCCCCTTGGTCTCCAACCATATACCGTCCCCTTCGGGCTTGAACATTTTTTTATGTTCAAGATTCTCATATCCGCCGCTAATATGTGTCCATGCATGCTTGCTAAGGCATATTCAATTGATTTAGATGAGGGATTGGAAGATTTTTGTAATAGAATTCTGGCCCAGGAATGGTTGAAAAAAAATACTAATTCTAGTGACTATCATCTTTTTCGAAAGGGGGTCAGCGAGAAAAAAAATATTCGCCCTAAAAAAATAAAAAGCCAAAAATAAAAATTGTCCACTCCAAGCCCGAAAATCCTATTTCGGGGAGGTGGGTCCAACTTCGATCAGCCCTAATTTTGTTGCCAGATCTACTACATTACCCTCAGTGGACTAACTTCAATAAAAAGTGGGGGTGGGGGCTGTACTTTCAATGAACATTACATTTTCTGTTGTAAAGTTATGTCTGGGAAAAGAGGTGGGCTGATATTTTGTGCCTGTAATTCTTCCTAATCAATCAGGACACCCCACCCCCCTCTTACCAGTCAAAAACACAGTCGTCAACATTCATTATATACCAGATATACAGCTTTGAGATAATGTAAATGTATTTTTACATCAGGTTATGCACTTTTGGAATCAACATGATAAAGAGTTAACTCAATATAAAGATATTTTAAGATCACATAAGAAAGAGTTGAAATAACGTAATGATATATCCACATCACGGAATGTAGTTTTGACATAATGTGGTAAAGTGTTGATATAATATTAAGAAATGTTCACATTATGTTATACACTTTTTACACGACGTATAATAAACATTCATTATTATTCGAGCTCAAAATTTTATTCAAACAATCAAATCAGGGGTCGGCAGAACTAGGACGGACTTTTTAAAGATCGGAAGGGATGTCAGGTGCCATAGAGGAGTGAGCATTCCCATGACAACCGGTCACAACCGCCATGTGCTCCTTGTAATGGTCGGGAAAATGGAAAGTTTATCATTCAATGAGTAAAAAAGGCCTAACAATGAGTATAGAAATCATTAGTCAGCATTTGACTTTATGATAGATAATATTTGCTGCCATGGTCATTGTTTCGACCATTGTATCGACCACAGAACTTGCATACAGGACTGTTGATATTCTAGTTTCATCAACTTGTTTGTCAATAGCTTGCTTCGTGTCAGAAATGACCCTTGGTATTGAATCAACTGAGAGACATAAAACCCATATGTCTGTGATAAAAGTAGATTGGTATACAGTTAATTTTTCTTGAGTGAGGCGGAATTCTCGAAAAAGGACTATCTGGGATACGTACAGCCGTGTACCTATAAGACAATATATAGGCCTTTCAGCTGCCGCTAGGGTTCGCAGTTATGAACGATAACTCACTGCTGAGACTTGTTTACAGCAGGCCCGAGATATTTAACTGTTTACACGCAAGGCAGTTTTTAGCATTTCCCAAGTGTTTCTTTGCTCTCAGTAGAATCCAGTGGTTTTAAAGTTTAGCACCAATGTTAAACTTATTTACTGTATAGTTGCGGACACCGTTTAACTACATATAATTAAAAGTTTTAATTAAAATAAAAAGTGAAATCTACCCCCTTCTTAGTTCTAACCTACTTAAATTTTTATGCTCTGTCGTTCCCCTTCGTGCTTAGTAACACAAATAAGATGATCAATTGTTGCACTTACTTGTAAAAATGTATATATTATATAGGAAGCGAAAAAGCGCGAACACAAAAACATGACATGAAATTTTCTTCTTCATAATAATCGTCAAAGAGAGTTAAAAATATTGAATATAGTCTGTTCCTCATTCATTGACCCTTTTATTTCAGGTAGAGTGAAGGCAAAACTTTTGTGTTTTTTTTACCATATGTGCAACTTGAAAAATTAGTTGAAAGGCCTACAAAACAATGTAAGGAACCCTTTTGTGTACATAACAATACCAGTGCTGAAGCAGCCTATATGTCATTCCTATAAAAGATAACTCATAAATCGGCACTTATTTGGTCATTTTTCACACCTGAGTTGCCTGTCCTTAAAACACAACATCGTAAAAGTCAATTATAAATTATTAAACTTTTTAATGATTTAATTTTTTAATAATTTAATTAAAAGTATGCATAAGTTATTATCTTTTTTGATAATTTCATGTACCTATAAATCTATGCAATGTTTTTTTTTTACCATATGTGCAACTTGAGAAATTAGTTGAAGGGCCTAAAATATAGCAAAAAGAGCTTGAAAGTTGTTTTCAGAATAGTAAATATAAAAGGAAAAGCATTTAGGTAACCTATGAAAGGTTGGGTATTTTAACATTTAGTTCTCAGGTAATTCAATTTTTAATACTGATAAAATTATAAAAGAAAATGGCTTACCTTAACTTTTGGCCTGATTTTTGGCTGAGTTCTTCAGCGATGCAAGGATTTTTTAGATCAGTAAAAGTGTCAGTGATCCCAACTTTGTAACCAAACGCAAACACGAGCGTGCTCAATCCATCTCTCACAATCTGCTCTAAATCCCTACTAGAACCAGAGGCCATTTTGATAAAAAGGTATGTACGGTTAAATCGTGTAATCGGCGTCTGGTGTATGGTGTCCGCATAGCGTCTTTGCATTCAGGTTGATTTTAAATGGATAACATTTTATTTTATTTTAGAAAATATGTTTTGTCAATTGATGTTTGAAACACCAGCTTGGATCCTTTTGTTATCTTTTGATTTCTTTAAGCTGCAAGAAATGTAATATTGGACTTAATTGAACTTGAAGCAATGTTTCGCATCATACCTTTATTCAAGAGACAGGTTAAGGACAGATGATACAAACAAATTTTTTCTTTGAAAAAGATTTAATATCATGTCACAAGTTTAGAAATGTGAATGGTCCTTAGAATTTTTTTTCTACGAACTGGAATATGAAAATGACTTGGAAAATATTAGTAATATTTCAATAAAAAAACAAATATAGAATAATCACATTCAGGAAAGGGTTACAGGTGAAAAGAAAATTCAGAATATGTTATCTTGGTGCTAAAAGTGTAATATAAACTTAAGAAAAATATACCAAGCCAGGTGAATTTTATTAGAAAAAGCTAAATGGTAAAAATCAGCCCATGCGATATTGCTAATTTTTTTGTAATTTCGATCTTGCTCTTAAAATTCACCTGGCTTGGTATATTTTTCTAAAGTTTATATTATCATATAATTTAATATTTATATATCTACAAGCATACTATAATTCAAGATAATCATGTCGCAAATCAATATTCATGACTCAATGTTATAATTTAAAATAAGACCCTCTTACTCGAAAAAAACAAGAATTGCCTCACAATGACTGATATTTGTAAAGAGGTTACTGGTTGTTGCGTTGTACAAGATGATATTATGGTTAATTTGTTACCTAATCCTTCTAACTAGTTGTAGCTAATTAAAGTTAAAGCAAAGAGAAAAAGAATTCCCATATATCTAGTAAACACTAACATGTTCTATTATGAAGGCGCGAAAAAACATAAAAAATGGAAAAAAAGTTCAGTGGTAGCTTTGTTTTCACTCGGATGCATTCATCTTGCATTATATTTGTGTTTCTTCTATTTCTGGAAGGCAATGCACTCCTGAATTGTGTTCACGTCCTTTCCGCCAAATGGAATCAGTTTGAATCCATGTTCCTCCACCTTTTCCTTCCTTCGTTCGTAGCCCCACCCCACTCCCAGACCTCCTCCTGAAGGACCGGAGGAACTCATAGGTAGGCAGGAAAATAGGCTCAGGGGCAGAAAGAACTGGGCTGCCTTGTTGTCAACTAGCTTCTTGTGGTTTGAAGATACGGGAGGGTCGTATGCCGCGCCGTGTCCATCTGGTTTAAGGACTCTCTTGGTTTCTTCTAAAATGCCGTCCACTTCGTATGAATCATGAAGAAGATCAACTAAAATGACAAAATCAAACTTTGCCGCCCAATCCTTTGGAAGGTGTCCTCCTTTCATACAGAGAAACTGGAGGTTTTTCTGGTCGCTTTTTTCCAGTTCTTTGTTGGCGTGATCTATGGAGACTTGATCCATATCAATCCCAATGATAGTACTGTCAGGGTACAATCTCGCTATCTCTCTAGTTAGCCTTCCATAACCACATCCAAGATCCAGCAGCGTAAATTGAGTGCCTGATGTATCAAAAAAGCCAAATAATTACACTAAATCCTTTCTTTATTTCTTGATTTATGCATTTTGTAATTAATTATTTTATTTTGTTAATAATTACCTGATTTAAAATCAAGTATAGGGATCAGTTGGTCGTGAATCCACGTCACTTCTGGATTGTGATAGGTACCCCACCATTTGAGAAAAGGGTCATAGTAGCCATAACCTTCAATGAATAAAAGAATGTTTATTAATGTATATCAATACATTCTAATGTAGAATTAAATGAATGGGGGCGACTGGGGTTTTATTGTGTGAAAACTACAATAGCGAATCTCTTCATTTTTATACCATATATGACTTACATTAAGGATTTCCATCCCTAATGGGACCAAATTCCCTACCCTTAAATATACGTCAAGTACAAAATACTCTGATATTTTATTAAAGCATTTAATAGTGGAAAAGGATTGCCCGCGAGAAATTTTCAATTTTTTTGTTAATTAATACCGCATATTTGAGTTCATCTCACAATATGCGCCGTTATCAAAGCTCTATCCTTTTATTATATGTCATCATTCACCTCCTTTTTGTGGAAAAAAATTATAAATGTGATAAGCCGGAATTTATTTATCCATCCATACAGTGTCGGTACTTAGTCACTAGGTTTACGGGTTATCTCCCCTTTTCTATGCATCACTGAAAGTGAAAGGTGGGTGATGAAAGTATCCGATTTATGTTTTGTATTATGAAATATTTTATAATAATTTCCAGTTTTTAAAGTTAAGTTTCAGTCAAAGAATTAAAACAGATTATCTTATTAACATTGATATTGCCCGATGGCAAGTATTTTATTGGATTGAAACAGATCGATTTGCCACCCGTCCATGCTTTAAACACTGGTACATGGTACAAAATTACAATGTGGTAATAGTAATTAACTTCATCAGCAGATTTTGAATGAATAAAAACTTACTTAGTGAAATTATATATAAACAAAATGAGATAATGTAAAAATAGGTATGAACTTCAACTTTATTCGGTCCATGTTATTCAAGGTCATTTGCCAATAATCATCCGTACACATGGTGGCCTATATTTAGTTACTTAGGTCCCTTAGCCAATCTTTAGGGGATTTAAAAATGGGAATATCCATAATTATAATTCTTACAGTATGAGTATGCTTTGTAACTTTGGGTTTGGTGCATTTATCAGTTTATTTAAAATATTGAGTGATTTAAAAAAAAAAATAAATAAATAAATAAATGTTCAAGGGTTACCCTAGCTGTGCCATACCAGTCTACCTTTTGTCATAAAACAGTGAATAAATAAAAAAAAAATACAGATTGAGAAGTAATAAAAGTTTGACAAATCTTTAGAAATGTTATTTAGCTAGATTCACAAAGGGACAGAACTCTAATTAAAGTATATAAATTTCAATCAAGGCCATTCAACTTTAACAAGGGTCCAAAGAGAGGCATGAAAGATATGCAATTGCGACAAAGGCAGTAATCAATTGTGAAAGAAAATAGTTTGAAGTAAAATACATAACAAGTTTTGGTGCTTTTGAATGTAACATTACAATAATGCATTTTATGATATGAATGAAACATCAAGTAAGATGTGTATTTGTTTATACATATTACAGTTGTACACATGCTATATGACAAAACTCAAGGTAAGTAAATATGAATGATGACTAAAAAAGTAAATAGATTTTGAGTCAAAAAATTCAGTTGGATGGAAGCATTACAATCAACAATTCAGGCTGTAAAATCTGGGAGGCATACCCGGCATAGGTAACATGCACCAGAGTTGAATTGTACATTGTCTGTCAAATCCACATAATAATAATATATTAGGACCAGCAGCATCCTCACCTATTCGGATATCACTTCTCTTAAGGGGCTTGATAGGGAGGACAACTTCAGATTCAACAAGAACAATAACAATGTGGGCATAGTAATTTAGGACCTCAATGGTTCATCAGTAACAGTTGATATAAATAGGATTCCCCAAATTTTATTTTAATTAACTACATGTAATATCTAGCAAGGCTAGCTACTATTTTGCTGGTTAATATATATCAAAGGGTTCAGATTAAGTAAGATGGGGCGAAGGGCATGTTTCGCATATATTCTTTGTTGTCATTTTGGTCAATGGTGTAGTTAAAATTATACATAAAGGAAATAAAAGAAGGCCATGCTGTTCGTTCCTTGGAAGCCGTCTCCAGTGTACATGAGCATAATCATGAATTTCTCTAACAGCGCCTTTACCTTAATTGAGAAGGTTTGATGATAACACAATATAAACACATACATTTAAAGGGGCTGGGTGGTTGTGGCCATTTTTAGGCTATTTGGATCTCCTTTAGAAGAAGAGCTCAATAAAGATATAACTGATCAAATTTTAAAGCTAAAATTTATGAAATTTTTCTTTGCCAAATGATAGTTGACAGCTTAAGATATCATATCCCAAAATTTAAATTATATCTGGTGGTTAATAATTGTTGACCCCCTGGCCTCCTTAATGTCTTCTCACCCCGTAACATTATAAAGGCCTTGTATCCTATAAAGTTGTGTTTAGTAAATGAAAAGTTTTGTACCATCTTAAGTTAACATGAAAAATCAGGTAAACTTATTTTACTAATTTATTATATATAGATTATTTCACAAATGTTGATTATTTACACAGAGATTAATTTCAGCGTGGGCTTTTATTTCCTGACAATGTTCTAAAAACATGGGTCTAGTCACTTTTTTAATATTTATACAAGAAGAGAACTTTGGGTATTGAAAAACAATTCTACAAATAAAAGACTGTAAAAAGAAGTTAAATAATAATAATTTATAGGCTAATTGAAGCACTGTGAAATAAATAAATTGTCAAGAGAATTCGGAAATTAACATAATTAAAATTTATTCCTTTGAGTTATCTTTCTCATTGGGAAAAGTGAACCTTAAAATAGGAATTGCAACTCAAATTTCCTGAACTTTTACCAATTTTACTCGTTATTCAATTTGGCATTGGGAATGAGGGACAATTTACAGAGTTCTTCAGGTGCTACAGTCAATGCATATGCAGGCTCATTTGAACACAGCTCAAAGTGCTGGTACTTTCTATGTATTTTCCAAATACGGCATATGCTGTATGAATGGTCATGCAACAATAATAAATAAATCAATAAATAAATAAAATAGAAAGGGTTATAATGAGACTTATAAGGTTCAAATTGGGGCTTTTTGTCAGTGTTGGTTTTTGCTGTGTCTCTAAGTTGTTAAGATTTGCTATTTCACACAGATAAAAGTTGCTTTAGTTAAAATTATATATTCTCAGTTTTTAAACTCGCAAAGAGAAAATTGTTTAGGTAACTAGTTTCTTTATCACTAATAAGCACTAAAGGCGAGATTACCTAACTACCTAACAGCAGGGGGGGGGGGGGTTTAACCATTGTTCCACAGGCTAGGTTACAATCCAAACCAATTCCTACAATATTTTCTTTTTAATAGTATGTGCTTACTGTTGGAAATTAAGACACATATGCATATCTCAGGGGGCATTTTCCCATTGAAAATATCAGTTCAAACCCAGGTGCCATTTGCATGTAAGATGATAGGTTTTTATCCCTCATCTGAGCAGTTACATGTAGCATAATTATTTTATGTTACTTTACACATTTATCTCATATGGGATTAAGATGCATTAGTCGGTGCATATATATGTACATGCAGTTTACATCCATGCATTAGCTAGTGGGTGTAAATTCAGGTTAGCTAGGGGATACAAATCCAAATCCACATGTGTGTAGGAGTTACAAGATTCATAGTACATGTATTAAGATAAGATAAACTTCTCCAGCATTTTAGGGTATTAGATGTAGGATAGGTTTCCACTGACTAAGCATATTAATTTTTTATGCTCTCTATCATATATCCATTTTCTACAGCCTTAAAAAGATTTTGAAGTCTATTATTTAAATAACCTATTCCATAACATATTTTTGCCGGGGGGGGGGGGGGGGAAGCTTAAGGTGTGAAAAGATCATGCATTTTTGATAGAGCATCAGCTGGGAAGGGGTTTAGAATAAAGGATTTAGTCATATGTGCCTTCATTGTCTGCTGCAGTCCAACTACATTTACAAATGAGCAGTAAATACAAAGTCCTCCATTGTGTGTCTTGGTTTGAAAGGTACTTATTATATACAAGATTTAATCAATTGTAAATGGTCCTTTGAAGAGTTCGCTTTCAAAATAAGTGGTACATGTATAATATCATTCCCTCAGAACTGACAAGATACGTTACCAAATATCACAAAACATGTTCTGCAGATTACAAATTGGGCATGTGAACACTTTTAAAATTTTTGTCAACAATACAGGAATAGCATAATCATGCTGAAAGGGAAAGGGGGGGGGTTAAAGAGTAAAGGTGCTCATTCATCTTGTTTCTAATCTCTGCATGAAAGTATTTTATCACCTAAAAATAAATAAATAAGAAATAAAATTCAAATTTATAAACAAATAAATAAAAAGGGGGGGGGGGTTCTAAATAAAACGTATTTTCTACATAAGATTCTTACATTAGTCCAGGTAGTAGTTCTTTCTTGCCAGCTGGATATTAATAATGGAATCTGAGACCCAAAGCAATATACTAGTAACTTGGAAATATATAAATTCAGGAGGGGGGGGGGCGTTAGGCCCAATTAATTTGAAGGGAGACCAGAATTATTTTAATGCAGGATAGTTCTACAGTGGGTTGGCAATGAGAGAGAGTGATATTCACGATGGATGGGTTGCTGAGGGTTTTGAGTAGGCTAGGAGTCCATGGTGGGTGGTTAAATTGAAGTTGCCTACCCCCACCAGGTGGCGGTGGGCACCTACGGTGCCCATGTGGCGAAATCGTCACCTTCAATTTAACCATTGAACTGTTCATTTTGTTGACTTTTTGTGGTTGATGTTGATATATGTGATGGTTGATGTTGATATATGTGATGTTGACTTTGAAAATTATATCTTATACAATTTAAAGCTAAAGCAAAATAATATAATTATAAAAGATAATTTGTGTTGAAATGTGTCCGTAGCACGAATGAGGTCAACCCAGCGTGCTACTTTTCCCGTCAGGGAGGGCACAACTTATGTTGATGTTGGGGGTATGCCATTTTGCCGGCTGCCCCACTGTTGTGTAGACCACTGTGGACAATACCTGCCAACTCGAATAAAACATTGAACTTAAATACGTAGCATTTGTTTATTATATACATAGGTCTTTGATAAGCAGTAGTTAATTAACAAAGATTGCATTGAAGTCTTTGGGGAAAAGCTTTTTTTTTTCAAAATAAAAATTCAAATAATTTGAATATCAATAAATCCTGCTGTGGAAAGATGCATTGAAACATTAAAAATAGAATAACAATTGAAAACAAATTTTTTACGGTCTAATTTTTTTTAATTGATTTTTTTTTTATTAATTAAAAAGGGGAGATAACTCTTACCAAAATTCAAGGTCATGAATTAGGACACATCCCACTCTACATACTAATAGCAATAAATGGGAAGTATGTCTAAATAAACTGAGTGTTTATTGCTTACATATCTGTTATGTTTTCAATTTCATTCAATTTGTTCCTATTAGGGGTTATATACCTTAACTTTAGGGTACATGCAAAGTTTGGGGGAAATCTACCGTCCAGGTATTTTTGTGGGACCGTCTCAAAATACAGGTACATTTACTCTAGGAATATATAGGAAAATGCCCATTTATAGCACTTTAAAGCAAATCATACAAATACCACATTAGACTTTTTGTTCAAACTATAATAATTTAATTTTAGTTTTAACACGTCATTTGATTGGTTAAACGGGTTTATCCATTTTGTATAACATAACTTGCCTACGTCACAATGAGTTACGTCAAAAACGTATTACTCCGCTTGATGTTAATTTTAAAATAACGCTTAATTTTAAGAGTTTTTCGGGAGGAAATATTGTCTCATTGTCTATCCTGAAATTAAATTAAAATTAAATTATAAGGAATGAAGCTTATTTCAACTTATGTTATCCGATATAACAAAACTTGGGGCAGTTTACGCTTTCTTATAAACCGCTTCGCGGTTTATAAAGCGTAAACTGCCCCAAGTTATGTTATATCGGATAACATAAGTTGAAATAAGCTTCATTCCTTAAATATTTGATGAGTAATACTATATTATACAAAATATGTAAGAAACACAAACTTGACCGTCTTGTTACCAGAGGGGGCGTCTCAAAGTACCAAAACTGAACGAATTTTCCTGTTTTATTAGAATACTACAAAATATGACGGGCACAAGGGATTTAAATGAAACCGTTAAAAAAATAATGGAGACATTATCAACTGTCTATATTTTAAATTTGAAGAGCGTATATTCATTATTTTTTGTTAAATAACATTTTTATTACCCCTTTCTTTAAGAGATTCAGTGTATCATAACGTCAAAAACACACTGTTACGACGTCAACCTACGTATGACTTGGAAAATCGGTTCAAAAATCAGTTATATAAAATTGTAATTACATTTTTATACCTACATTTTCTTAATCTTGTTAATTCTTAATATTTAAGCGAAAAAAAGTTGCTTTATAACAGTAAATACGCTTCATTTTACTATGATGCTCAAAATATTACGCAATGGAAACTACAGTCAGCCCCCTTAATTGAATTAGATCTGTTAAGAGATAGCGGAGTCAATGGCTACAGAATCATATTACATTTACATTTTTATAAACGGATGAGAAGCTTGGCTTTTCGTTTACTTATAACAGTTCATAGTAACTTTTAAGTGCACAATCGAAGCTAAACTATTTTATTTTCAAATAATTTAGCCAACAAAAACAAGTTTAAAAATCATTCAAAATAACATGAATGCCATCGTTTATGTAATAGTAAGATCATATGAAGAGAAATCTTCGTCATGAAGAATGGGCGGAGCGAAGCGGAGCCCATTCTTCGTGACGAAGATTTCTCTTCATATGATCTTACTGACTTAGAACAGAACCTCAGCCAATCAAATGCATGGATTAAAAATAAACTCCTCCCACTGCTGTGTCATATATAAGGCTCAACTTGACCGCTCGTTGTACATATCGAACACGCAATCAATATCGAACACACGCGGTTTCAGAATGGACTCCCAACCCATTCAGGTTAGCACGGGATTATATGAAATACCTTGATTTACTGGGGAAATGGTATGGTGAAGATATTAAAGTTACTGAACTAATGAATACCATAGTCGTCAGAAGCAATTGAAAGGGGGGGGGGCTTAACCAACAAAACAAGTGAACCCTAATTTTCAATGCCTATATTTTATGTATATATTTGCAAGAAAAGTGGGGGGCTAAGCCCTCCCCCCCCCCCCCGGTTCCGACGCCTATGAATACTCATGTAACAAGAATCTACATTTTGGAAAAATGATTGTGTTAAGATGACAAGGCCCTAGTCAGCAGAAGTGTGTATGGCTGTCTAATATCAAATAAAAATTTGATGAAAATTGTGATTTAATCTGCCTTCAAAGACAAGGTTCGTTTCTGATATACATGACGATGGTTGTATTTTCTGTATGTACCGAAATGTGAAAACAAATAATATTCAAAAAGCGACAAAAGATTACAGTGGGGAAAAAATGTAGCAAGGCCTAGAAAGTTTAAATATCATGATTGTAAACAGCACGTGGGTTTTGAATAGTTTCTTTTTGTGTGCTGAACAAAGACCAATGAAGACACACCCATATAACAGTCAAGTGAACCAATCAGACACCGTTGAATTTTTCAGAAATAGAAGAATTCTTCACCATGAAGAATCAATTCTTCGAAAGAAATGGAAGCATTTGATTGGCTGAATAAGTAGGTTATGTTCTTAGAGCGAGTAGACACCTATCATAAAGAGAATCATACCACGAGGTCCGTCCTCAGGTAAAACTTTCTCTAGACGAGGGAACATATCACTCAGAACCGGAAGTGCTGCAGCGATGTTACAACATTCCTTTACCATAGAATTCTCATACGGAAGTGAATATTTGCCATCCTCGTGAATCTTGACGATTCCTGTTGAAACAAGACAACCTAACCATTCCTGTATATACCTATAAAAGCGAAACATTTTGCACTACATTAAATATTCTTCCTTTGCAAAAGTTTTCCTTCATTGTGTATTCACATGAGTTATTCAAAACAAACACATGGAGATAACGAACGTATTGAAGATCAAAAATCCATAAAACGTTGCAAAATAAGGGCAGAGCAAACACGGACCTCCAAAATACATAACGTCATTCAGTAAGCATGTCGTCATTGATAGCAATTAATCTGTTTTAGTATATCATGTGGCGCGATGTGGCGTGTCTGAGAAAATATAGCATAAGAAGTATTTTTTCAAGGTTATCTACTTGTTCATTTGCATTTCATTGACGTTTAAAGTTTTCATAAATATATATCATATTTGTGAAATTTATATCGGTATTACATGTATCTATGCTGTATTTAGCATACATTACGTCCATTGTATATTGTTAAATACATGTAGTTCACAACTCCACCGATGACCGGGGACGTAGCAACAGGGGGGCCTGCCCCCCCACTTTTTAGCCAACAATACTTTTACTATTGAATATGTTTATTGAAAGGCTGGTCCCCCCAACTTTAAACTAAAGTAAAGTAATATGAAGGAAATCTGATATTGTAAGCTTAAAAAATGGATATTGAAAGGAATTGATAGTGGAAAAAGTTTGCCTCTACCACCCCCCCCCCCCAACGAAATAGGATTTTCGACTTTGGGCAATTTCCCTTTTCTTTCCTTCTTTCTTTTTTTTTTTGCTTGTCAACTTTTTCAGGTAAGAAAAAAAATTTCTGTGGCAGCCCCCCCCCACTTTCAAAATCGATGCTACGTGTCTGATGACGAATCGAACACTCTACCACTAGGCTACCGTGAAAGGTTTTTTTGATCGATCACTAACCGTTATCTCAACCTATTAATCAAATATTTGAAAAAGAGAAGGTATGAATAGAAACAACTGTCAAGTTAATA